CGTAAAAGAATACATTGTTTTCAAGAAACTGTGCCTTTTCTACAAAAGGTATCATTCTTCACTAAAAAGTAAATTGTTTCTTAGCCTCGTACATTTCTGCACGAGTTGATCATAACGTTGAGGTTGGCATATTTATTGTAAACGTCAGCCATACGTCGGCACCTTCATACCAAAAACGTCATACGAGTGGCCTTCCAGCAGCTTTGACAACATCGCCTTACTGATTATTTTCTAACATAACTGCTTACTATGTTTGTGTTTTTTTTTTTTTTTTGTTTTTTTTGTGGGATTTTTTGTTGGTAAATCATGTGCTTTTTTTCTGTAGTGCCCTATAAGCACTGAGAGCATTGAAACAAATAAATAAATACCGAGCCAATAAAAACACGTAGATTAAAACAAAGAAACCATGCGGGTGTAGTCGTGGGAAGTAAAACTAGTCATGGCTGCGAGATTATTCGATTAACCTATCGATTAAGGCATTAATCGCCGCTTAATTTCTGAACCGACGAATCGTTCTGTCCCCACGGGGTTGTATCTGGAAATACCCGCGCCGCTGCAAGCTCGACATAAAAATGGAATCACTGGCGAGACCTCCTCCAGGATATTCCGAGACAGTGGCGTCACAAGGGGGGGTGCGGGGGGGGAACTGCCCCGGTTGCAGCGCTCCCGGGGGTGTCGCGGCGGGCCGCGAGATAAGGGGGGGGGGGGGGGGGGGGGCGTTGTCGTGGGCCACCGCCCCGGGTGCCGCTGACCCTAGTGACGCCACCGTTCCGAGGTATACAACCCCGAACTTCCTGTACTCGTGCACTGCTAGAATATAATGGAAACTTGTAAGAACGTAGACGCTGCTCTATAGATTCGTGGTATAGTTTACCGCTGGAAACTGCTGGTGGTGTTCTCTCCTTTTTCTTGCCTCTGTCCTGGGATAGGGGTCAGCCAAAGCACCGCGCTGACTTTTTAAACCCTACTCTTTTGTATTCCAATGAGCGTACCAAATATGCACTTGCACAAATAAAAAAAAAATTAAAAAAGGAGTAAAGCTTTATTTTAGTTGTTGGTTCTTGGAAGTAGTCGAACTGTCTCAGATGCGACGCATGGAGGATCTGATCTGAAACGTTTCAACCATTCAAAACTCAACAGAGAAAGTGAAAGCTTTTTTTAGGATAATTTTTTTTAGTGTAAACGATACACACTGCACTTTCAATTTAATTTTACAACACTTACCATCTGGCTGAACGTCAGTGAAGTGATATTCCATCCGTTTCTTTCTTAACGTTATTCCACTTTTGCCATCGCCACGTGGCTATCGAACTATAGCGTACCAAATGTACTCAAAATCGTGTGTCATCTAAGGCACACGTTCAATATTAGAATAGGAAAAGAACATGAACCCCATTTTTGTGGCCTCTAAAAAGCTGCAAATTCGTTGACGGAAAACAAAAACAATTGTTGCACAGATCATAGGAAGTACATGTACTACGTCATTCCCAATATGGCGTCATATGCCGTGCACCGTTACATAGATCACCTCAGTTGTGGAACTCCCATGGTTACGTCAGTTGTGAAGCTCCCACGGTTACCTCAGTTGTGGAACTCCCTGTCGTTTGAAGAGCCGTCTAGATTTTAGCTTCACATTTGTGTGTTTCATGGAGTACAGTGAAACGCCATCTAGACGCTGTGCTTCGAAATAAACGCATTTCATAGAGTGGACTGCAGTTACCATAGCAACCGTCCGGCGCGTCGAACGACGGGAGGCAAGAGCCCGAGGCGAGCCGTCTAGAGAGAGGGAGGGGGGTATTGCCCGTGCAAGCAGCGTCTATAAGCAGTTCCGTAACTGAGCTAATCTAATAACGTTGACCGCTGGCTGGACGACGCGATGGCGGCGCACGAAGGACCAACGTTGCCGCGGACGTGGGGCCGTTGCTTCGGACGGATAAAATTTCCGAATTAGCGGGTAAAAGTAAAAAGCATTTCATGCTTTAAAAAAATGCAAAATAAAAAGCAATGGAATGAAACGGCTTCCTTAGAGCGCACAGTTTCTTCATCGGGCTTTAGGGCTGATCCCACTAATAGACGCGTTTCAAAAATTCGAGCCATCTCTTGTCCGCCATTGCTTGGGCACGTACCCTGAGCATATTGAACACGAGCGCTGCGTCGTCAGCGAGGACTCAGATAAAATGGTGCGCTTTGGGCCCAAGAAATGGCGACTATCAACGTTGCTTGATGGACTTCTGCAAAGGGTCCACTGTGTCCTCACACAGAGTGTTGTAGTTTCGTAATACTTCTGAATTCTGCCGGCTTCCCCATAGCACCGATTAACCGCCGATTACCGGCGGGCGATCAATCGGTGCGCAGCGCAGCTCCCTCGCTGGTAGCGTCTCAGTCTCATTCGCTGGCCTAAGTGATCGTGCGAGTGTAGTCACACCTAATGGCGGGTTGGAACTCTCGGTATGTCGTCTCGGTGTATAAACAATTGCACCGATATTTACGGACCCGAAAACGTATTCTATAAGGTATGACGACTCTCTATGCTCTTCCTCAGTATAGGTATACAACACGACAATTTAACCGGATGATATGTTGGTACAAAAAATAACACAACAGGCTGTTTACAAACAAGTCCGCGTCACTGCGCAGAAACAAGATTCGCGTAAGGCGAACCGTCTGCGCATGCGCCGACAACAGCCCCACCGCAGCGGCCGGCGTGACATCCGAGTCACGTGCTGTGGACGCTCGTTGCGAAGGTGTCCGAGGTCTTTCAGTCCGTATCGCCGCATCTCTCGTTGTCCTCGGCGTTATTTGCGTCGGCGGCTTCGGCGCGCATATCCTTTTCGTCGACGCCTCCATTCGCACGTTCCGGACGGCTCCGGTTTGACCGCCGCTTCGCTTTCTTCTCTTAAGCGCGAAACACATGTACGACGAAACCGTCCGATCCGACGTCCGACCGCGCAATACGACGGTCGGAGGCGAGGGTTTTCAACGCTCTCCGATGCTACGAAAACCCTCGCCTCCGACCGTCGTATTGCGCGGTCGGACGTCGGATCGGACGGTTTCGTCGCACATGTGTTTCGCGCTTTACGGTCCGAGCACTGAGCGGCGAGAAGATTAGATCCGAGCGTCGTGCGTCCCTCCGCGCTTCCTTCCACGGGTGGGGACGGAAGAAACGGGGAAACAGCGAATCCTCCCCAAATACGTACGGTGCGGTAAGCCAAGTAAGCAGCGAGAGGGGCCCAGTCGAGCAGCCCCAAGAGGGGGAGGGCGATGCCATCTCGAAGGCAGGGCCCGCGCATGACCTCATCGTTAGTGGATCCCCGACCCGATGCTCGGCAACAGTCACCGCGAAGTGGCACACGCGTCCGTCCATCTTGGCGTCGCCGCCTGCTAGCGTCGCGTTCGCTGCGAGACGCGTGCGGCGAAGCTGACGCAAGGGACGCTGCGTGGATCCTCTGGTGATGACGTCTAGGGCGGAAAGGCCTCGTCTTTTAGGTGGTATTGGTGAGGGACGGGCTGCGGCCGGGAGGACAGGTCGGGGCCCTTCCGAGGCCAGCCGTGGTCGATACCGAGAGGAGCTCGGCTCCGGCGACCGCTCGGTGAGCCTTCCTCGATTCGGCGGGTCCGAAGTGGCAGCCTCTCCTCCCGGGCCTCCGACGGATGCGCGCGGCAACCGACCGCTTCGCCGGGAAACGCAATCTTCACGGACTCGGATCGATGCGGCCCGCTTTCCCTTCGGCTTTCTCCCGCCGGTCTCTCGGCCTCTGGCTTGAGTTTTTGCTGCCGACGCGCCCCCGGCCTCCGGTTTCCTCCCCCCCGCACTCGTTCCTCCCCCATCTCTCCTCCTTCCCAACACTCGGCCGAGGCCGTGCGTTCGTCCGTTACTCAGGTCGTACTCCGGACGGCGCACCAAGTTGCTCTCCGCTTCTGGAATCTTCGCCCGCCAGTCGCTCTCACCGCGATTGCCGATTTCCCCTCGGCTCTCGCCGAGCTTGCGCTTTAATAAACTCTCGGCGCATCTGCTTTTCCCGGGTATATGAGAAGTGAAGTAACTCGGTAGCTTTGCACGCTCGGAGGTTCAGTGTGTAGTACAGCGGGGGCACACTCGGAACACGAATGATCGAACTTCCCAGGACACCTTTTGCCAGTGAGACGAGCGGTTGGAATCGCGCCCTTCTCGTTAGCCACGCACTCCCCGGGGCAAAGGGATGCGTCCACCCCGCCTTGGCACCGAGACCGCACGGTAATCGGAGGTGCGCACGCCGACCGCCCTTTCTCGCGTATCGAAGTGATCGACGAAAGACCGTCCATCGCGGCGTATAGTCCTGGGCGAGTCGCGGTGCAGCGTGCCCCGTTCTCGGGGTCCTCCGAGAGCTCGACTTACGATTCAGTGTTGGGGCCCCGTGGAAGTCGCGCGAGAGCATCGTCGTCGTGCTGCCCCAACCACGGTGGCCCCAACACGATCCGCGTCACGCGCGGCTGGTGAAGTGGCCGGCCGCCAACGCCTGACGTAACGGCGACGGGGCGATCTTGTTTCCAACTCTGTGTCCATCCGATACCACCCAGGAGACAAGGCCCGAATCTTTTCTTCCCAAACGTCATCACTGGTGAATCCACGCACTGGCACCTACTGCGCGTCAGCATCGTCGACAGCGCGTCTCGCAGCGAACGCGACGCTAGCAGGCAGCGACGCCGAGACGGGCGCGTGTGCCGCTTTGCGGCGTCTCCCGTCGAACTTCGGCACCTTCGCCTCTTGGGCGCGGGTCGGAGACCCGCTAACGATGACGTTATGCGCAGGCCTTGTCTTGTAGCTGATCTCGGTCCAGCACGGACTCTGAAGACTCGTCGCACGCGGGACGACCCGAACGAGCCGTATATGACGCAGACGCGCTTCTTCCTTCGCGTGGCGCGTGTGCGCAAGTGTCGCGGCCAATGGCGTGAATCGTTGGCGTGAGTTCCTCGCCGCCAGCTTACGCGACCCCGCTCTGATCTCGCCCTGTTTCCGGCAGGATCCCCCGTGGGCCCCTCGAGCGACAGGCGGCACCGAGGGAATGACCGAGGGCAGCCCCTGAGAGCAGAGGGGCCGCACGCCGACGCACCGACCGCTGCTCCAGCCTCGGGTGAGTACCGTTTCGCTTCTCCCATCTTTTTCCCTTTAGCTGAGCCTCCCGGATGACCAGGTATGCGACCGCACAGGCGCATAATGACCGACGTTTTCTGCTTTCTTCAACGCCATCGTCGCAGCGAGGCCGTCGGAATTTCCGCGTCATATACCGAGGGAGATCCTGGGACTCCTGTTCGACGAGCGAGGACACGAATGCCAGCTGAACGATGACGCCACAATCGTGTCCGGTCTCTGTCCCGCGCTGGCCTCCGATACGTGACGTAGCGAATGCGGCACCATGGCCTCGTTATAACTCGATTCTCGGACGCCACGCCAGAGCGGTAGCGCCGTGGTCGGCACTGGACGCGCGTAGACGCTCCATCTCGAGCGAATCTGGTTCCTGCACACGCGCAGCGGCTAACGCTTTATAAGCGGCGTGTCTACGAGGTACTGCTTTGACTCTCCCCCTGAAAAGGATTCGTTTCTCGAAGACTCCGATTTCACGACAACGCTTTCGGTATAAGGTTAATTCATTTGCCGAGAAAAATAGCGAAGAAAAATTCAAGTTCAGAGCAGAGGGACAGCACTGAGGGACGCGGCGTCAGACTCCCTAAAGCCAAGGTCAGACTGCTTCACACAGAAGAGAGCCTGCAGTCACTGTCGAGGCGTGCTTCTTCCTTGTATGGCGGTCCCATTGGTCATAGAAAAGCTCTTTGCAGACATATTAGAAGCATGCATATGTATGAAGCGAACAAGTTTCGAACATTCTTGAGATAATGTTGTCATTGTGCCTGCAGCGAACCACGTGAAGACTGCTTTAGTAAGGGGGGGGGGGGGGGGGGGGGGGGGGTCGCCTCATTCCTCACGACCGTTGAGTCTTCCTTAAAATAGCTTATTTTCGGCGTTGCGAGGGTCGTCAAATGATGTTACAAGAATTTCATCTTCATTTATTGATGAACACTTGCCCCGGGCGACTTCTTACCGATCTTCGTATCGCCATCGCACCTGAGCGAGGAGAAGAGAGCGGTGCAAGGCCCATGCCACCCAGTACAGCAAGGCTTGCGCCAATCCCCCCCTCTGCCCCCTCCCCCCCCAAACGTCATCGCTAGTAGATCAACGCAACGCCTCCAAGCTTGCATCAGGATCGCCTCTCGCGCGTCGTGCAGCGTCTTACAGCGACAGCGACGTTAGTACGCAGCGACGCTGAAGCGGACGCTTCTGCCGGTTTGCGTCGTCTCTCGTCAAGCTTCAGCGTGTTAGCCGCTTGGTGCAGGTGGGGTTCCACTAACAATGACGTCATGCGCAGGCCTTGTCTTCTAGGTCGTTTGCGGAGCCCAAGTTCGTCTGCTTCTTTTCCAGGGGTTGTGGTGACGTCAGGACACTGATCTCTGATTGGCTCTAGTGGAAGGATAGTGGGTAGACCTCAAAGCAAGCTGCCTCGAGGTCTACCCACTATCCTTCAAGCAGAACGAATCAGAGCTCTGCGTTCTGACGTCACCACAACCCCTGGAAAAGAAGCAGACGAACTTGCCCTCCACATAAGACCAATTCAGTTTCATCGTTCAATATAGCAGTAAAATTGACGTCAAGCGACCTATACTGACAGTGATGTCATTGCTGCGCCAATGGGGCCAAACTGCGCCAGAGGGCTTACCCCGCTACATCCTGCTACTTTGAGCCAAAATGTGAAGAATCTGCGCCAGCATTGCGCCAAAACTTGATTTCCCTTTATGAATACTGAAAACATAATAAGTGACGTCCCCCTATACGTCGGAATCGTTACGTATAGGATTGTGCACATTTTCAGAACTTTCGATTATCGCCCCTATTAAAGGGGCCCTGCAATCATATTTAAGCGTCTACCTGTTTTGCGGTTTCCACGTCTCTTGAAGTTCGGGCAAGCCAGCGGGCACGGAGAGAGCAACTAAATATCAGTGCGTCATATTTTAACCGGACGACGCGGAAACTTCCTCCACCGACGAGGGCGACCCGCGGTACCGAAAGCGCGCAAAATGTGACGTCTTTGGTCCTGGGCTTACTACTGGTCAGAGCCGCTAAAAGCTTCTTTTTAGTCGAAATACAAAATATAAGTGTCGCGAACCGTTTCAATTACTTATAAAAGTAGTTTTTGTTCACTATTTTAGATGAGAAAAGAAACAAATGCAGTTTATAAAGTACGGAAACAAGAAATGACCCGTCGACATACCCGCCACCAAGCGGTGGAAAAGGCGGCGCATACTAGAAAGAAGTAGTGGGATCAGGCGCCGACACGGAAAGGCCCCGGATGTACTCGGCAGTGCTGCGGTCGTATGGGCAGGAGGATCCGACCGGCTCCGAGCCTTCCGAACGCCGTCGGCGAGATGCTTTGTCTTGCGGTTTGGCCGTTTCGCGGTATGGCAGCGCGAAGTGACTCCCACTCTGAACTGATCTTTACCCCGTGTTTGCTGTCGTTTGTGGCCAATGAAGTGTTTGTCCGAAATAGTCTTTAATCGCGCAGCAAATGCAATGCGAGCCGCCCCGGCCGCCCGCTTCATAGAGCCTATCCAACATATGCTTTAGTGGCGCCCTCTCGCGCCGTCGACACGGATTGCGGCAGCTGTGAGCGCTCGCGATGAGCTCACTACCCCTCCTCTAGTTCACGGCCGCTGAAGCAACCAAGGACGTCATGAGGGAGGTTATTTTTTGCTTGTTTTTGTAATTTTGATTTGCCTATAACTTTTAAAATAAAGCGAATTTCAAGAAAATAAAAGTTACACTAAGTTACTACGTTCAGTGCGCTCAGGTTTGGCGCATATTAAAAATTAGTAAAAAAGTGCTTGCAGGGCCCCTTTAACGTACTATTCGATTTGATCGCTCTGTCAAACACTGACAGTACTCGGAATTTTCGTAATATCGATTCATGTTCGCAGTCCGCCCTGGCGGGTAAGTTAGCTTTATTGAGTGCGCTTCTCAACGCTGTCTTGTGTACTGCCATGAAACAACCGCGAACTCAGCATCGCGTATTTTGGTTATCTTGCTTTGCCGCAGTGCGCCCGCGTGCTAAAAGGAAAGCTCTCCCCAAAGCGGGATACGTTGAACACGGAGGCGTCGGGCATATTGAAAAGAAAAGGGGAGGGAATTCGGTGAGTGCTAATGTAACAACTCTACTTTGCCCTAAACATCCTGAATAAAACTGTTGCTATTATTTATGATAGACTGCGATGTTCTGGCGATATCGTTTTCAAATTCTATAGTTAGCAAAATTACTTGCAAGAAACTTTAAATGAACTGCTCTATGTTTCTTCTTAATTTGAACTATCTTGTTTAGTTATCATCTTTATATGGATATTAGGTTGTTCGAGGTGCAGTCAATAAAATGAAATAAAACCAAGTTAGATCAAAGAGTGGAAGGAGGCTTGGGAATAAACCTAACCAGTTTGGCTGGATTTTTTCTGGACAGTATATTTATCATTCACATGCCGATTTTTGTTTACAGTTATACGTATAAAACGTTATTTATGTTCATAATCTAATTACAAAAACAATTTAATCTGAATTAATAAGTTCAATTTTATTACTACGTTTCGAACTCTAACGAAACAGCAGTTTGTTTGCCCTCAAGATTACTCTATTCTAAAAATATTTCGGAGGAATATACTATTTTATTTACATTTTATTTTATACCTGCTATAACTATTCACAGCAATCTGTACTGTTTTTCACAAACCAGCATCTTGTTGCCATGCCAACATGATATTTCTATGTGCAACCAAACAGCTATTTTTGTTTTTCGTATTTCATGGAATCAAACTTCCCGCGCAGTTGATGCTAACGAAAAGTTGCACGAAGTGAAAAGGTAAGGTAAATATGTATCTTAGTGAAACAGGCCAACACAAAAATCTTAACATATATCATTCGCAGTGGTACGAATAAAAATGAAGTGTGTACATGTAATCCAAAAGTACTTTTTGCTGTCCCAAAATGGAGTTTTGGCTGCTCCGAAAGAACTCGAGCCAATCGCATCACCGTAAACACCGATTCAGTTTTGCCGCTAAATTTAGCGTGGAAATTGATGTCACCTGGCATGACGTCAGGAGACCATTGCGCCGGCGTTTGGCTTTCAACTTCGAACGCGTTCGACGAGTGCAGTGCAGACAAAGGCAGCTCTAGCTTTATGTCTACCCACTAATCCTTCCAACCAGAGCACGGCATTTGATGTCCCGTCTCGTCTCCTCCTCTCCCTCACTTTCTCGGCGCATACATCATTTAGGTTTCTCCGCTAAATTTAGCTGCAAAAATTGATGTCACGTGATCTGCAGACCAAGTCAGTTTGCCCGCTAAATATAGCGGTAGAATATGACTTGGCGACTTATACACCATATCAGTTTCCTCGCTAAATTTCGCGGGAAAATTGACGTCACACCTGACGTCACAGGACCTATACAATATTTCCGTTTCGCCGCTAAATTTAGCGGAAAGATCGATGTCCCGTGACCTGACGCCGCGTGGCATGTTACACAAATTTAGTTGCCCACTAAATTTAGCGGGAAAATTGACGTCACCGGACCTTTGTACCAACTCAGTTTCCCTTTTAACTTTTAACGGGAAAATTCATTAAAAAAAATATATATATAGGCTCTTCCCTTCCGAAACGACGGTTTAATGTCTTCAACATAAATTTAAACGACCTCTCCTCAAATACTGCATTTCATTCATCATAAAGGTCGCCGTTAATGTTTTTTTTTTAATTAATTTGCGAGAGGTCACCGCGTCTCTGGGTGTGCACAGCGTTGGTAGCGCGTCGCGCCTGTCGGACGGATCTTGGGCACCGTGGGGACGACCTCTGGATGTCAAGGCTGCCTTGACCAACTTTCGGCGCCGCCTCCCGCTCCGAGCCGGATTGCAGCCAAGGCCGTGTTCGGACGCGCACGTACGAGAACAACGTCGCCGTGTGGCGTCCGGTTTACTACCGGCCTTTCGCTAGCTTCGGCTGCTTGATACTGCTGTTCTGACACTGTATACTTCGCACTAGATCTG